TACTCAGCCTTATTTGACTCTTATTAAAAACCTTATCAAGCAGGTGAGTTGTGCTCGTTTCCTTCAACAACGAATGTTTTCAACTTTTTTGATACACTCATTTCAATCATTAAGAAATACTTACGATTAAACTTTTCCTAAGTCGCTTCCGTCATGAAACTTTTTGGTGTTTGCTTCTGGATTATGTAGACAGAAATGAATAATTGACATTTACTGATCAGTGTAGCTGGTCATAATTGATTCAGTAAATATTCACAATTAGTTACGATTCTATTCTAACCTATATCAATTGCTGTGCTCTGCCAATGATATATTTCAGAGAAGCGTTCTTGAATTTTGCTTTTAGTTTTCTTTGTGATCGTCCTCTTTGTCGAATACGGATACTGACTTGTCTTTCTTTCAATTAAACCTCTCGACGGAATGAATTTTCTGAAATGGGAATAGATCACGAAGTTAATATTTCAGACGTTCGCCACACCAGACCATCATCCCCGAAGTCAGCCATTCATTGACCACGTCTTTTCATTCTCACTCACTCCAGACCATAAAATCTGGTTTCGCAATTTTCAAATTGTTGACGAATCGTTACAGCTTCAAGAAATTGGTTCGTTAACTTGTGTTATGAATCAATTTCCATTCGTTCAGCACTGAGTAATCAGTTATATCCGTCAACAGCTCATTTGAATGTTTGATACATAATTCAAATTCTATTCATTTATTCGTTGATTTATTTACTCAGCCAGTTAATATATATCTCGCTCTTAAGTCTTTTCAAGATCAAGACACATACCCCTTTTATTATTTCATTCTTTGTGAGCGCATTGCTGCAAGATATTTAACTAATATGAATTAAACGGACAATTTCCCATCCCATTGAGATATGTGAAGTCAGATTTGTATTTCAATCGAAAAAATGTTTCAGGACCTCGAATGGTACTCGAGTTGATACGCATATTTGAGGGTTCATTCGAAGGTGCGGTCTTATACGATAACCCAGATTACGTCAGTCCGAATATTGTACGAAGACAGCTGAAAAAAACGGGTGCTGATAAATACGTTCAGAGGAAAATCGTTGAGCAGGTAATTTGATTTGGAAACTTTTGAAACAAAGCACTCTTTGATTTATTGTTTTTGCATCAGTGAATGTGTCCGACGGCAGAGAACGAATTTTAGTTTTTGCTTTTATTAATTATTGCAATGAACGAACTTCTTGGAGTGGGATTTCATTGAACTGTTCTGATTCGATTGACAGGGTCGAAAGGAACGACTGGAAGCTATCAAAGCCGTTCAACTACCAGATCCAGTCGGAGAGATATTCGACACCAGTCGACCAATCTTGGACCCGGATGCGAAACAAGTGAAGAAATTGATTGAGAGAAAACGAAAACGAATCAAGAAAAAGAAACGCTTAGGTGATAAAAAAGCAGAGTAACGTTTGACATATCACCCAAATGATCTGAATTTATTGCACTACCTGACTGTTTATTGTTGACCACTGTTGTTGTTTGTTACCCTTATTATTGTTCTATTTTTTGTTGCTTCCTCCATAAAAGAGCGTTATTCACATTGTTGTTGTTCACATACAATTCTAGTTCTAACCTATAAATACTTCTCTATGGTGTCGTCAACCGTTCAGACGGTCACAATTGTCATGCAATTTGAGCACACAAAAATGTATATTTTTTGCCTCTAACTCGCTTTTTTATATTTTAAATGCCAACTAATTATAGCTCAATCAGTAATATTTTAAGAAACACTTTCGAATAAACCAACACGCATGTGCATGTGCACCTTCTCGACGTTTTACGCAAAAAGGGACTCATCCTTCAAACTCGAGAAAGTTTACTCACTCAATTCCGTCATGTGTAATAGGAGATAATAAAGTAGGTAGATTTATTCAAATTCAATGAAAACAGAAAATAACATGAACGTGAGTAAT